CTGTGGAACCACTTGACTCTGTAAAGTATATATTTAATTTTAAAATATTAAAGGTAATCTGACACATTTGCTGCTATAACTTAATCAATGACACCTGACAAATATCTCCTGAGGGCTTACTCGGTGCCAGCTGCTGGGCAAAAAGTCGCAGTCACCACACTAAGGTCACCCAGTGGCTACAGCACATGGTATTCACTTCCAGGGAAGGCGTTTGGGGTAAGTTGAGAGACTAGGGCATAGGAAACATGGTGGAACAGAAAACAACTCCATGGTCGTCTGACATTGGGTACACACTCAGTTGAGGCCTGGTTCCAGGAGTCTCTGTCATTTAGCTAGAGAAATTTAATAAGCACTTTGATAGGAAGACTTAGAGGAAAAAAGGGGTGGGTATAAATACTTGTAAGTCATTCCAGTAGGCAAAGAAGCAAAGGCAGCAGGAATTGACCAGGCACCCAGAAAGGTAATTTAACAAGAGAAGGAAGCTGAGGAAGACCCTTAAAGACTGACCCTCAGGAGTTGCACTATTGTGCTGAGGCCAAGATACTTTGTGATCTTCAAAAGGCAGCTCTCTTGACAGCCCCTGCAGTGAGTTAAGAGAATCAGTCCAAAGTTTTAAGTTTCTCTGATTCCGTCCTTACCACTCCTTGGTCGTTTATTATTTTCTAAATGACAAGTCTAGCAAACATTTCTCAGTACTCATCCTTTGGGCCTAAGCACAATATTGGACCCTGACAATGTTTGACTCTTTATTCCGACCGTGATTCTTGTTCTTACATTGATTTTTGTGACCGCATGATCCCATTCTACCCTGGTCTTCTCCTCCCTCTGTGATGAGTCTTCCTGTGGTCCTTCCTTGGCAATTAAGTTCAGGTAGTGGTCTTGGTTCTCAGGGATTTGTGTCTAGCTAAAGGGTTTGCAGGTAGGTGAGACAGGAATATTCAAGAAAAATGTGATTGAAATAATAACAACAACAGTATCAACAATGGTCCTACAGGGTACCAGTCATGGTGACAATGTTGAAGAAGATGGCGTGACAGTTCCAGTACCAAACTTGTCTATGAGTTTATGGGTCTAGATGGGAGAAAGATATTTTGACATCCTGTTGGCTTTCATTAGCTAAATTACAACAGGTAACCCAAAGACCCAGATCCTACTCATAAAATATTTATTGTTATGCATTTATGATGTCTGCATTTATATGTTCACAAATTCATCCTAGAAAAAGTGCTACATACCTCACTGCTGAATACTTTCCTTCGAAGTACTCACCTTGGAAAGTTATGCACTGATGCCAGCGCCTAAGCAATTCAAAGCAATTTTGGAATTCTTTCTGGAATGGCAATCAGAGCTGTTGTAGTAGTACCCTTGATGTCTTGAATGCCATCAATATGTCTTCCTTTCAATATTTCCTTTATCTTCGGGTAAAGAAAAAAGTCACTGGGGGCCAGATCAGGTGAGCAGGGAGGGTGTTCCAATTCAGTTATTTGTTTACTGGCTAAAACCTCCCCCACAGACAGTGCCCTGTGAGCTGGTACATTGTTGTGATGCAAGAGCCATAAATTTTTGGTGAAAAGTTCAGGTCGTTTTTGTCTAACTTTTTCATGCAGCCTTTTCAGCACTTCCAAATAGTATAGTTGGTTAACTGTTTTTCCAGTTGGTAGAAATTCATAGTGAATAATCCCTCTGATATCAAAAAAGGTTAGTAACATTGTTTTGACTCTGGATTTGGACTGACAGAACTTTTTTGGTCGGGGATAATTGGCTGACTTCCATTGTGCACTTTGACACTTTGTTTCAGGGTCGTGTTGGTACACCCATTTTTCATCACCAGTGATAATACGGCTTGCCTCTCCAAAAGGTCTTGGCAAACTTCGACTCTCCTTTGCTTTTGGGACCATTTTTGTACACACCTTTCTCATGCCAAGATTTTCTGTTAAGATTTTCCTGCTTTTCTGTCGATGTTTACTTGGCCTGCTGTGCTTCTCACAGTCAGCTGATGATTTTGGAGCACAATTCAACAGATTTTTGCAATGTTTTCATCAGTTCTGCTTGTTACTGGCTGCCCTGACCTCTCTTCATCAGTGATGCGTTCTCTCTCCTCAGAATAACATTTAATCCATTTGTACACTGCCGTTTTCTTCATGGCATTATCCCCATCAACTTGGACTAACATGTCCCTGATTTCACTTCCACTCTTGCCAAGTTTAACAAATTTAATGTTTGTTCATTGCTCTAATTCAAGCTCAGACATTCTCGCGATGACACACAAAAACACACAATAATGAACGCCACTCAGCAACACGCCACCACACGTTGACATGAACACAGCTGTGAGACACTGATATACCAAAGTTATGAAACCTTACTGAGCTGTTTGTACAGTGCTGCCAACGTAAGCGCATGGTGGCAAGTTCAAGAACATAACTGTCAGAACCTGTACAACCCAGCCAGATACAGAAAGGCTTTCCAGTGATACATATAATAAAACTAAATTAAAAATATGGATGAATACTTGGGAGACCACTTCATGGACAGTGTAGATGCCTGACCACTGCACTGTACACCTGAAGCTGAAGCTGACTAATACTGAATGTCAACTATAATTTAATATATATAGTCCCAGGATGTGAAGTACAGCGTAAGGAATAACGTCAATGGAATTGTAACAGCTATGTATAATATCAGAAGGGTAGTAGATTGGGGGAGGGGAATTATTACTTTGTGAGGGGTGTGTCTAACTATTACATTGTTTTCTACACCTGAAACTGAAATCACAAATAAAAAAATAAAAATAACCCTAAGTATAAATATTATTTTTTAACGTGCAAGTAATTTTATGCAGGCACCATGAATTCCTATAAAAGGATTAATAATGAAAAAAAATTAAAAAATAAAAATGTGGGTGAATAAAAATGAAATAACATCAGTATAGAAAAACCATGATAATTCTACTATATAAAAATATGCAGCCTACAATTAAAGCAAAACTAAAATCATTAAAATTGCTGTCTAATTGAAGTATGTGTGTTAAGTATTCAGTATATCTTTTAGATTTTCAGATCAGTTTATAAGTCCATATAAAAACCTTTACCATAGTAGTGCTAGGTAAATGTTTGACAAAAATGTATGATGCTTCAGTTTATAGTAAAACATAACTACTTAAACATACAAGGGTATGACAATTAAGTTCACGAACTTGTTGCAATGATTTTGCTAACCTTTTTTGATATGAGAGGGATTATTTATCATGAATTTATCCTGAACAGTTAACCAAGTTTATTATTTGGAAGTGCTGAAAAGGCTGTGTGAAAAATTAGATGATCTGAACTTTTTGCCAACAATTCATGGCTCTTGCATCATGACAGTGCACCAGCTCACACAGCACTGTCTAGGAAGGAGTTTTTAGCCAATAAACAAATAATTGTATTGGAACACCCTCCCTACTCACCTGATCCGGGCCCAGTGACTTCTTTCTTTACCCAAAGATAAAGGAAATATTGAAAGGAAGACACTTTGATGACATTCAGGACATCAGGGGTAATATGACAGTTCTGATGGCCATTATAGAAAAAGAGTTCCAAAACTGCTTTGAAGGGTGGACTAGGCACTGGCATTGGTGAATAGCTTCCCAAGGGGAATACTTCAAAGGTGACTGCAGTGATATTCAGCAATGAGATATGTAGCACTTTTTCTAGGATGAGTTTGTGAACTTAATTGTCACACCTCGTATATTAAATATAGTTTAGTTATTTTAGAAATCTAACCTTTATTTAAAAGCTGGTGATTCATTATAACTTTCAGAAAACACATTGCAATATCCTTATGCTACTACTAGAGTATCCCACAGCACATGATCAAAACAGAAACACACATGACCATCTTGTACCAAATCTAGAATTAAAATGTAATCTTTCCTAATCATCTCCTTAAAGAAAACTGATGCAAGGATGACAGAGGCAGAAGAGTGACTCGGAGCTGTGCCTACTGCAACGATTCTTGTTTTGTAATGTTGGAATCATTTCTAGAATATGCCACTTTCATGTACACTGATATAGAAAGTCTTAGTAAAATCAAATTATTTCGAATACTTTTTTCAGCACTGAAGGGTTACTTAGCCTTTGCTAAGTAACATGAAGTCAGGCTGACCACATGGACGTGGACTGCTAAACCCTAATGCTACCTGGGTGTGAAAGCAAGCACCTTTGAATAACAGCTTTTTTTTCTCGGCTACCTCTTTGTAAATTTGCTCCAAGTCTCTCAGATTTCTTCTAATTTACGATATATTCAGCCATTTCCTCTAACCACTAAATTTTTCTTCTGTAGCTCAAGCAGCTCTTAAAATCCCCCTTTCTTCTAAGAAGTTCCCCTTGACTTGTTGGAACATTAGTCTTTGAACCGCCTTGTTTGAGTATGAGGTTTATGTGCCTGCCCTCCATTCTCTGAGGCATAGAGCACTTATCTGTTTCTATTTTGCTTACATTTTATTATCCGCCGTTTTTTATGTGCTTCCCTGAACTATGTCACTGGTGGAGGGATAGCAGAAAGCATGCTCGTTCTGCTGGGAGGAAGAACTGGCAGTACCTAAGGAGCGATGAAGCCAGACAACCTTGAGTTGACACAGATCCTGCCCTTGCCAGCCTTGTAGTCTTAGAGAAGTCGCTAACTGTTCTTCAAGGTGATTGCCTCACCTGGGAAATGTACATAACACCACCGAGCTCACAAGGTTTTCATAAGGTTGTTGGGAGCGCTACGGAAGGTAATTCATGCTCGGCATGTGGGAAGGCCTCGGCCACCTGATAAAGGCTTTCTGGCAATGGTTAGACAAACGTAAGGTAAATTGGGATATAAGCATTTACTCTGAGTGCTAAAATTAGATCTATAAAAAGTTACACAGCTGATAAAAATATTGAAATAAAGATGCTTAGGGGAAATGTCAACTAAATTACATCTGACACTGAAGAAGACACATTCTTTTTTTTGCTTTTTCTTTTTGTTTTCAGGGGAGAGCGCGAACGCAGTCCCCCACTACCACAAATTATGCAGTCGAGTTTCCCACATTTGGGGAAATCGCAGGGGTCAGCACATCCGGAGTGCAATGAATAAGCCTCGTCCTGGGAAAACCACCTTCGTGATCATGGTATCTCCCCTGCCAGGTAAGTATGAGAAGACACATTCTTGGCTGAATGCTCCATACTAGATATTTAAAATAACACAAATAGGATTGCATTTTTGTAATTTAATTTGTGGTCATATTAGAGACAATGGTTAACATGCTTAGGAGAGACAATATTCCGTGTATTTTTTAGTAAGCGTTATCAAGCACATTTGTAAAAGATTAAACTTTCACTCCCAGAGACTATGACTTCCCTTGTACATCAAATGAACAAACACAACACTGACTCATTTCAAATAATGGATACTGTATATGGTTATACTGTATCTAAAATTACATGTACTACTAAAGATTAATTTCAGCATTAAAAACAGGGGATTCTGTGACACCCACAGAAAAATTTGAAAACCTGGACAAGCAGACTAAAATAGAGAATCACTTAGTTTTCTAAAGCAAATAGTACGATGAAGTTAGGTGGGGGAAGCCGACTTTGAAAGACCTCACCACGACCTGAACAAACGGCCATGCTTCATCGACAGCTCCTACTACTGCATAGTGACCAAGGAGCGCCTTTGCATCTTTAGAAAACATGGACTCTGCCAGGGCAGCCTTCGCTCAGCAACCGAGAGGTTAAGAAGTGAAGAGAAAAGGGACTGCCAGAGGGGAAGGAGCAGACTGCCTGGGCCTGGGGGTTCTTTAGGACCGTGCAGCTGTGCCTGACAGTCCTTACTAGCATCCAAGCTTCATCACATGGGGCAAGGGGCCTATGGGACAGGCAACCAGCCACGTGAAGGGACACTTCAAATTAAGAGTGGTGAGACAACCAAAAAACGCTACACTGAAAAGATGCTTTATGTTTAGAACTGTGAAAATTAAAAATTAGACAGCAAAATGCAAAGATAACTTATGGACATCTGGATCACAAATAATCTACCCTAAATATTACATTTCTTAATGCAGATCACAAATTTTTCTAAAAATCTACTTGAATTAGGAGTTAGAGCAATTTGTATGAAATAAAGTTTTTAAGTACAGCTCAGGAGAGTTAAAGCTCCAAGGATGTCTAAATATAACTTTTCAATTCTCTTCTTATGTCTGTCCATGTGCCTTGGAAGCTGCTGACACTAAAGTTCTAATAAATGAGACACTGAAAAATGCTTTAGTATACATCACAGGCCATCTCAAAAACACTCTCTGAAAAAAGTAAGTCTTCTTGCGGCATTTACCATGAAACAGTTAAGAAAAAAATGTATATATTTAAAGTATTTTAAAGTCATACAGACATAATGTAATAAAATTGACAAGACAAACACTGCTTGGGCATTTCAAATAAAGCTATTTTGGTTGAAATAAAACATATACCAACATCTAAGCTACCAATTCAGGGGGAAAAAGAGAGAGAGAGAGAGAGAGAGAGAGAGAGAGAGAGAGAGAAATCACAAACCCAAAGGTTTCTATACAGATCCTTGGAGGGCACTTAAGAAAGTAACTTTATTCACTCGTTATCTTCGGACTGCCCTGATTTTGGAGGGATTATGTTTTCATCACGGTTGAAGCAGCAGCTTGGAAACAGGTGAGCTGCAGGTGCATGCCACTCTTGAACTTGTTCAACAGCTCCTCCAGCAACCTGCAGGGCAGAGAGGGTTTTACCACCTGACAGGATGAAGGCTGTCCAGCAATGTAAGAAAACACACCAGGGAGCCAACTGCCTGGTTTCAGCTTCTGCTTGCTGAAAAAAATTATTTATCTATAGATTCTTAACTCAATAACAGAAATAAGTTGATCAAAGAAGCTAGTCAAAGATATATATTTTTACGTTTACATATAAAAATCTCTGTCCTGTTCCTTTCCCCAGAATTAATAAGATTCCTCCCTCAAACAGACTATTTGCACCTGTACTTTTCCTTAATTCACCATTTAAACATCTACGTACACTACAATGTACTCTTTTTGGTGTACAGTTCTATGTATCTTAACAGCCTAACACCCCACGATTGCGATGCAGAACAGGTCTGTTCTCTTGTGCTGCCCCTTCCAGCCACCTTTCCCTTCACTCCACCCACCCCTGCGCAGCTATTTGTCTGTTCTCTGTTCCTCCTATTTTGGAACTTTTTCTTGAATAAATATTGGCGAGTGGTGAATTACACACCAGAAGAATCAAGGTTAGTTCTAACTCCACTGGGCAAATCATTCTACTACTTGGTAACTCAGTTTGTTTCCTTAACTGGTCTGATATATTAATTGAATTTTAGGGCCAGAAGTGTTCTTATATTCATCTGGTTCAGATGAAGCTACCAAGGAGTGGGCTTATTGGTACCTGGGGTCAAGAGATTAATTCATGGTTTAACAATGTGCAATACCAGAACACAGTTCCAACAGTCTCCACCCAGGACTATATCAAAGGTCTGTCATTCTTGATCCCCCCCAAAAGCACTAGCCTTTTGTGCCATGTTCCACACGTTAAAAGTCATAGTTTTTATCATATTATCTTAAAGAAACAAACAGGGCTTCGAATCATTTCAGATAGAGCCTGATGGCTAGGGAGAGAAGGAAGACGGGAGACAGGCAGGGGTGCGGCGTGGGCACTGCCTGCACAGTCCTTGGCTTGCCCGCTTAGGGACATCCAGCAGGAGTGGTCGCCCGTTCCCCCAGCGCAGCCCAGGTCTTTGCATGATGCCTCCCCACCATTAGCCGGCCCCATGTGCTCTCTCTGCCTCGACACTCACCCGGGCTCCATCACAGAGCCCAACACACTGCATCTTTCCTGCAGGTTAAGAACACATCACTATTTGTTTACGGACTGATTTGTGTACGACCAGCCAAATGCAAAGGTGGGTGGCCTTCAGTTACAGCCAGTGAAGGAGCAGAGATCTGCACGTTTCTGCTGCCTCGGCAGAGGGTAGGCTGGGCGTTCATGAATGTGCTGGCCTAGGTTTTGTCTCAGGTCAGAATTTCCTATTATATGAATAGCAAACTTTAAATTCAGTCTGAGACAATCAATATAGTATTAGTGAAACATACGCAACTTTATTATGTCTTATGTACAAATCTATTCTTAACACTTTATGTTATATAGAGCACAAAATATACATTGCTAGGCTACTCAAAGGAAAAAAAATCATTGAGCGCTGCATTTTACTATACTGTCCTCTCCTACATTTCTTTAAGTATTGTCTTCTTTAAAATTTAAGATAGTAATATAGTTTACTGAGTCAAAATAAGCTTTCTTATGTTTTCTATACTAGTCATGTAAAACAAGAAAAGAACTAATTTCTAAGTTGTTATAAATCCAGAAGAAAACTTTCACCTTCCTCTGTCATTCGGGAGGCAAGCGAGGCGCGGCTAACGTAATGCGTACCGTTAAAGGCTTATTACGCACCGCTCTTTCTTAAATCCAAATCCTGATTTATAAAGAGAGCACTTTTAGGGAACAAATCTTGTAACCAACAGCATACAGAGCTTACTTTTTATCTGCTCCACTGGAAAGCTGAGGCAGGGCTTCCAAAGCCTGTTTAAAACTCGACCTAGGACACAAACACCGACATTTAAGTTGAAACATTTCATGTTTCTAAGGCGAATTAAAGGGCATAATTACAAATTCTTAAGCATATTTTAAATATAAAGAACCCAGTGAAGCATGCAGAAATATGAGAAGTAAAAGTGAAAAACAATAAAAAAAGTAAAAGTGAGGGCAGAGTTACCAGACAGGGGCTTTTGTAGGAGGGTCAAAAAAGGGGAGAAACTAACTTTTATAAAAGGATGCTGCTCATGATAGATGAGAGCGTCACGTGGACGTTTAATTTTTTAAAAAAAGTCTTTATTTTCAAAACAAAACTGAACTATAGATAAAGCAACTGGCAAGATCTTGTCAAAGATGACACGAATGGGGACATTTATAGTATTGACAGGCCCAAGGCTGACTTATAATCAATATCTCATAACTGAACACAATTTTTACAGAATGTAACTATTATTATATTTTAAATTTATAGGATCATGGAGCGGTGTATATACATATATTTAACATTCAACATTATTTCACTTCATGAAGAAGGGAAAAGAGAAAAAATTTAAAACCAATTTGGTATATTTAACTTTTTAAAGTAGAAAGTACCAGAAAAATTACTGAATCAAATGAAAAGCATTTTAGGAGAGATTATTTGGTAATAATTTGTACCATTCACTAAGAAACAGTTTTTAACTTCCCTCTCTTTTTTTTTCACAAATGGTTGACTAAGGTGAAGAAATAAATGTAACTATTCATGACTTTAGAGTGGTCTTTGAGTTTGTATTCTAAAACTGTCCTCATCGGTACTCCAGGAAATATACTTCTGAGTGGTGCTTCTCCGACGAGGACAGGCGTCCCAGCAGCATGGAGACTGCAGGCCCAGTGCAGTTACGGGGGCCAATACTGGGGGCGTCAGCTGTTCCAGGTGGGGAGGGTACATTACGGCTTTAGGCACACTCAGCCCCTTCTCAACATGAAGTTGGCTCTCCTCTTTCCTGATGTCGAGGGAAGTATCTCATATAATCTCCATGATAGTCTTATTTCTTGCAAACCTCTTCTTGATTAACCAAAACAAATGTGACGCTATTATTCTTTATTTTTACATTATCACAATCATGAGGAAGATGATACTACCTAATATTTGTAGTGTGACAACAGTTTAGAAGGTCACCTGACATATTTTCTCATTTAATTTCTCCAAAATTTTGCCTAGAAAGAATTTTCTTCCTTTGATAATGAGGAACTTAGGCTATGAAAGGTCAAGTTAGTGAGAACACACAGGAACTTACACAAGGCATGCATACATATCAAATATTCACTGAGTGCTTTTTTTTTTCATGTGGTATTTAGCACTTTGTGCAGAAAAACAATGATTGGGAAAAGTTGAGGTTAAGTAGTTAACATGGGAGCCATAATGAACAGGAATAAAAAGCTAACTTTCTTTGTTAGGAAAAAAATTTAAGAAGTCATTCAGTTGTAATGATGACAGTAAGAATGATGGCATAAGCCATGTTATGAAAAGATGGGAATGAATGAATAAGTATATTGTACAAAATGTCCTTAAACATTTTTTTGTATACTACTTGGCTTCTCAGTATAACCCAGTATTCCCTAGGTAATATTGCCAGTAAACAATTTTGTAAAAGCAAGCAGTCTAGTTAGTGCTTTTTCAGTTCACCTACTGATATTTCAATGATAGGAAATCCTGACTTTCATTCAAAACAGCTAAAAATTATCATCAAATTTCCACTACAAAATTTTGCAGAGAAACCACAAGGCTTCCTCTTATGCTGGTATTCACAATGCTTGAACTGTCCTTCAAAATCTGCTATGAATAGATTAAGACTCAGTTCTTACTCTCTGCCTCTTTAAAGAATGCAATGCTCTGCTACATCACTTATGAGACTAAGATTTCTCATACCTTATGGAACGAAAACACAAAATTATATTAAACCTTTTCCCTTTATATTATGCTACAAAGAACTAGACTTAGGAGTCTGTGGACACTTTTTAACTGAAAAATTGATCAATCAAATATAAACTTTATCACATCACAAAATCACAAGCATTCATCCTGCTCAGCTGTCTTTACTAAGGATTTTAGTGAATCCTTAGTGTCACCAGCATTTCTGACGAAGTACAGGACAAGTCACACAGCACCTCACCTGCTCTCGGGCGTCAGGTAAGCAGCCACAGTGTCCCTCAAAGCACAGATTTCAAGCCTTGCCTAAGATGAGAAAAGGACAATATGACAACAGGGAACTGTGACAATGATCAAACAGAAACAAGTGGTGAGGGAGATAGAGTCCAGCCTGCTCCCTGCAGGCACCGTGTTACCAGAATACTACAGGCACACAGTTACCTCCATCTCCATCCAAAGAATTGGCTGTGACAGGATTTCCTCTTACCAAGAATAATGTACAATCAAGTATGGGTGTGTGAAGGCAGAAAGCTAGATATCTAGCTATAAAAGGAATAGATATAAAAAGCTACATATATCTAGCTAACACAAGGATTTCCCAGGATCCTGTATTTACTATCTAATCAGTCATTTTTCTTTTAGTATGCTTGTGAGAGAAAGGGAAGTCTGAAACACTGTCCCTGAATCGTTCCCCTCCTTCACAGATTTAAAGAAGTGGGCTGGCTTACTTCCTTACACCTATGCCCTCTCAGTCATACTGACTTTAATCTTAAAAGCTGAGCTAAATCTCTACAGAGTCAATGCAATGCCTATTAAAATCACAGATGGCTCTTTGTTTTTAACCAAAATTAACAAGCTGATCCTAAATACACAAAACAATCTTGGAAAAGAATAACAGAGATGGAGAAATTCACACTTCTTAATATCGAAACTTACTACAAAGCTACAATAATTAAGACAGTGTAATACTTGTATACGGACAGACATACTAGGTCAACAGGGTAGGGTTGAGTGTCCAGAAACAAACCCTTATATTTATGATCAACTGATTTTTGACAAGGGTTTTGAGACCATTCAATGGGACAAGAAAAGTCTCTTCAGCAACTGATGTTGGGACAACTGGATATCCACGTGCAAAAGATTGAAGTCATATCTCCTCCTTAACACAAAAGTTAACTCAAAATAGGCCTAAATATAAGTAATAAAACTATAAAGCACTTAGAATAAAACAGGAGTAAATCTTTGTAATGTTGGGCTTGGCAAACCTTCTTAGAAATGACATCAAAGTAAAAACAGATAAACTGGACTTCATCAGAATTAAAAAATTCTGTGCTTAAAAGAAAACCATCAAAAAAGTGAAAAGCCAACCCACAAAATAACCCACTTCCCACACACGAGGATGGCTATAATCTATGGCACAGACAGTAAAATGTATTGGCAAGGCTGTAGAGGAACTGGAATCTTCGTACATTGCTGGTGGGGAAGTAAAATGGTGTAGCCATTTAAAAATAGTCTGGCAGTTCATCAAAAGATTAAACAGAGTAACCACATGACCTCGCAATTCCACTTGCAGGTATGTAACTATGAGAAATGAAAACATATATCCACAAAATCTTGTAATGAAATGTTCACAGAGGCATTCTTCATATTAGCCAGAAGTGGAAACAACCAAATAATCATCAAACGATGACTGAATAAATAAAATGTGGTATATTTATACAATGGAATATTGTTCAGCCATAAAAAGGAATGAAGAGCTGCTACATGTTACAACATGGATGAACCTTGCAAACATTATGTTAAGTGACTAAAAGCCATATCTGTATGATTCTGTTTATATGAGATTTTCAGAATATGCAAATCATACAGACAGAAAGCAGACTGGTGCTTGTATATTGCTGGGGAGGAGAGCTGAGAGGAAAATAGAGAGTGACTGCTAATGAGTCTCGGGTTTCTTTCTGGGGCGATGCAATGTTCTAAAATTGACTGTGGTGACTGATGACTGCACAACTTTGTGAAAACAGTAAAAATAGTCACTGAATGGTACACTTTTTATCTTGCAGATACACTGTATGGTATATGAATTATATCTACATAAAACATTTACAACAAAAAAGCTAACCTAAAGCTTATACTTCTTTGCAAGCTTGAAGAAGTGTGACTTTACATACAGATCAGTGTTCCCCAGAGTTCTAGAAGAGCCTCTGATGAGAAAGCCCACATCCTTCACCTTTGACTCAGGTACCCATAGTGTGGGTGATGCTTAGGAGACTATTTAAAAGAAACAGCCCTTGTTCTCCAGGAGTGCATAGAATGTAAAAACAATGATTAAAAAAAAAAAGGCTAGTTGTTTAAATTAGAGTTAATTAGAAATTCTGTAACCAATCTAGATAAAAGCTGATTTATGTAAGGACAGTATATTCTGTGAAACTTTTATATTTGAAAAGCAATTGTTCAGTTTCATTTATCAGTGCTTTAGAAGCCTTAAAAATAGTTTGTAACTAGAAAGCATATGTATGAAATTTAGCTTTATTGTTTATACTCTAGTTTATGTAAAAGACATACATATAAGAAAAATATCAAAGAAAAAAAATAACGCGAAATGTGTAGTTAAATATTTTAGAAGGGTTAAATAAATCACTGTAAAACTAATCTCATATAGAAATTTTATTCAAACAAAGTGATAAGGTGTTTTAATTAACCTATGAATTATGCCAGTTATAAAAATTGTGATTGTTATATAATATACAAAAAAAAATGTATGCTAGAAAGTGTCATGCTAAAAGATCAGCTAAAATCACCAAACTGTCACTCTACACCTCTCTAAACTGGCTCTTAGAAAAGTCCTGAAGATTAATGCATTGGCCTTTTATGAAAATGACTATTAAAAAGATTAACCTGTAGTCCTTCTCAGAGTTATTGCTCAAAAGAAGGACGTTGAAAACAGTTATTTTTAATGGAAAAGGGAAAAGAGGGGTGTTTACACTCATTTGAACTTTTTCAAAATAGAAACATGCCTACTCAGTTCCTAGCATGTATCAAAATATTAGAGGCTGAAACAGTTATGGTGCCCAGTGGTCTCCTGGACATGTGTACAGCCAAGTCTTTCCCTAATATTGTCGATACATTCTTGGAAACTGTGACTTTAAGTGAAACGCCGTATAATTAAACCAATTTTACCACAGGCTAATTGCTAGAAACAAATGTTAAGCTTCAATGGCATATTTCTGGTCATAAAAAACACCAAAATTATATGTAAAGACCCCAAACACTTCTAAGGTGAAACACTGAAATAGCTGTGAGCTATACATACATTTAAGAAAGATTACTAAAAACAAGTAAGATGATTCTTTTCCACCCCACTTATCCCAGTGCAGGGACCTAGTTGGCCGGAGCCCATCCTCGCAGTTCAGGGTACAGGCGGGCCCCACCCTGGACAGGACGCCTTCCATCGCAGGGTCACTCACACACACCTACCCTCACTCAGACGGGGACAGTGCAACATTTGCACATCTTTGGGATGTGGAAGGAAACCAGCGGACACAGAGGAAACCTTCGCAGACGTGAGGAGAACGTGCAAACCCAAACAGACAGTGGCCCCAGCTGGGAATTGACTTTTTTTTTTTCTTATCAACATTATAATGAAATGACGTTGAATAAAACAATGTTATTTGAGGACCTGCTGTATTTGGAAAAAGTTCTCTAGCTGATTCTGATCTCTCTTCCTAGCTTCTTCCTGCAAGCTTTAAGACAAATTTTGCCATAAGGTAAATGGGTTGCAGAGGTAATCTGCAGGGAGGGGAGATTTTTGTTATAATTTCAAAATTGTTTACTATTATTATTATTATTAGTTTCAGGTATACAAAACAATGTAATAGACATTTATAACCCTCACAAAGTGATACCCCCCTCCCCCAATCTACTACCCCTCTGACATCGTATATAGCTGATACAGCTCCACTGACTCTATTCCCTGTGCTGTACTCCATATCCTGTGACTATATATGTATTAAATTACAGTTGACATTCAATATTATTCAGCTTCAGGTATACACTAGTGGTCAGGCATCTACACCATCCATGAAATGATCTCCCTAATAAGACAAGTATCCATCGGGTACCCTACAAAATCTTTACATTATTAATTATATTTCCCAAACTGTCTTTCGTATCCCTGTGGCAATCCTGTGGTTACCAATTTGTGCTTTCTAATCACCTTACCTTCTCCCTCATCTCCGCCCCACCTCCCAAAATTGCCTAGGCCCACTGTAGGTACTGCAACCTCCTTTTTAATTAATCTTCAATATCATACCATTTATGCTACTGCTTTCCTATAATATTGGGTTGTCAGAAAAGTCATGACGTATTTTTCTGTTTTTCGTTGCATAAATGCGTCATGACTTTTCCGACAACCCAACAAAACTACTATAAAATCATGACCTTTCAACTTTAACTATATCAAAAGTCTGATAAATCAAATTTTTAGAGAAAATTCATGACAACTGGAAATATATTAGTTTTGTAACAGATTTTCACCTAACTTACCAGATTAACAAGTACTCTCCATTCCTTTTGCTTTCCAATATTTTTGTATGAAGATTTTCAAATGTATAGAGACTTTGAAAGAATTTTACAGGGAACACCTATATACCCATTACACTGTATTATTAACATTTACTAGTATTTCATATATCTATCAAACTGTCAATCCATCATATTGTTTTGATGTACTCCACCATACATCATTAACTAGAGCAGACTGTTTAGGCGGACAACTTATCTGAGTCTCCATCGACCTGGCTAACACCGTTGGCCCCACCCTGGTGATTCCCTGAGACCCTGCCACACTCAACTTTTGGGCATGCCCAAGCCATTCCCAGTAGCTTTGCCATACAAATGGCCTGTTTTTGTTCATGCTATGGACTTTCCTAAAATATTTCAAAGGTGCACAAACCAAATAAGCAGCATCTGGCTTCGATAAGCCCCATACTTCTTACTGAATAGTCCCATCCCTGGCATTCGCAGCAGCCAGACTTGGTTCGCAGCTTAGCCTCCCCAGGCACCTCCAACCCCAGTTCAGGTGGTGGCCATCTGCAGATTGCTTTGTGGCTCATACCATGTGGCCCTGGTTGAACTGGGCCTGTGGTGGGGCCCTTCCTAGGACACCCTGGGGTTGCCATTCTAGGTGGCCAGCTTCAAACAAAGCCTCAGCACCATCAGCAGCCTCCATGAATTACACACCTAACGGGCAGACTGGACAGGCACCCAAGCTCTGCTAAAGTGAATCCTGCTCCGCAGGGCCAGCCCCTGCAGGACAGCTCCTCCACTGTAGTCATGACCAGTCCTCACAACCA